TTGAAGCAGTCTACACAAGGGTGACATGTAACCGTCATAAGAATGACATGACACATGTCATGCACATCAATGACACATTATTGATGTTTATGACTGTTGTCATAATGTGTCATTCAGTTCCAAAAACCGAATGACACATTATGACAACAGTGATGTTTATGACAACAGTCATAAACATCAATAATGTGTCATTAATGTGCATGACATGTGTCATGCCATTCTTATGATGGTTACATGTCACCCTTATGTAGACTGCTTCAAGTAAAGTGTTACCCAAACTCCACACACACATGGCACCACAATGGAGACTCAACCCTGATCCCAGAGGTGTGAGGCAACAGTGCTAACCATTGTGCCACCCCATGGAAGAACCAATCCCATTAAACACAACAGAGGAAATCCTAAGAGCAGGCAGGACAGGCAAAGCATACAGACTGTGGCGAAGTGGGCATCAAACCCACAACACTGCTGGTGTGAGGCTACAGTCCTGCTGGGAAGTCACTGCACCATTCTCTCTTCATGAATCTCTCTTTATCATTCTCTTTGTATCGTTTTTCTCTGAAATAAATGACCATATTCAGAAATATTAAGCAAGTGTTTCTCCAGTCAAGAATGCCCTGTTTAAAAATAGAGCATGCTCAGTATTTGGTCTGAGTACTTTCTGTTTGGAGTGAAGACAGCTGGCTATACAGGCCATTATACTTGGTGAAGTGCACTGTATAGAACCACCCATAATTTGTCATTCCTTATATAGATTGAATAAAAGTGTTTTTTATTATTATTTCTGTTGATGGTGAAGAGAGAAAAAATATACTTAGTTTCTGATTGCCTAATAATTATGCACATTGATAATCAAATGTTTTTCTTTTTTTTATTTTCTCTCTAACTAAATTTATGGAAACAATTTACTTCAAGCTGTTATCTGCACTATATGGACAAAAGTATTGGGACACGCCTCATAATCATTGGATTCCGGGGTGGATTTCAATATGTGTATTTGACCGTACTTGTGTTTTCATGTACCCATATTCGTCATCTTCCACTGCCGAAGTCGAGTTCCAATACTAGGAACACAAGTAGAGAGGACGGTAAAAATTAGGTCTTGCTCTGTCCCAAATATCAAGGATATATTTGTTCCATCCTAGCCGAATGAGACCAATCCTATTATTCATTGTACCTCAAGTTCAATCTTGTGAGGAAAGTTAGCAAGACTGGTCTTGCCAAAGTATGGTCTTTGGGTTCTAGGTATTGAGATTCACCCCAGGTATTTCATTCAGACCTATTGCCATAGGTGTATAGAATCAGGCATCTAGCTATTCAGTCACGTTTACAAACATTTATGAAAGAATAAGTTGTTCTGCACAGCTCAGTGAATTCAAGAGTGGTAACTGTCATAGGCTGCCACTTTTGCAGTAAGTCAATTCATGTAAATTCTTCTGAGGTGAATAGTGCGTAAAAATCGCCAACATTCTGTTGGGTCAATAACTGCAGAGTTCCAATCTTCTGACATTAACCCCAGTCTGGTGTGGAAAAACTTCACTGGCCTGCACAGAGACCTGACTTCAACCTCATCAAACATCTTTGGGATGATTAGAGATTGCAAGCCACACCTTCATGTTCAACATATGTGCTTGACCTCACAAATGCTCTTCTGGTTAAATGGGCAAAAATTCCCACAGAAACGCTCCAAAATCTTGTGGAAAGCTTTCCCAGAAGAGTGGCAGCTGTTATGGCTACAAACAGGGGACAAACTCCTCATTGATGCCTACTGTATGCGAATGGAATGTCAAAAGAGTTGCTGTAGGTGTAATGGTCAGGTGTCCCAATATTTTTGTCCATATAGTGCAGAGGTCACTAACAGTCAGACCGCAGTTCGGCATGTTCGGACCCAGAAGCTGTCCCATACGGACCCGGGCCGATAGCCAAAACGGAAAGTTATTATTTAAAACCTGATGGGGCGCTTCTATTTTAAACGGCACAGCTTTAGTTGTCATGTTTGCGGGCGGCTCGGGCACGGGGACGTGGCATCAGGCACAAAAAGGGGTGGACGACCCACTGGCGGCTCCAGGAACAGAAGGGGGTTATTAAATAAAACAGAAGACACTACAAACACAATGAAACCAAAAGGACCACGAGGGGTCAAAACTAAAGGGGATAATTAAAGACTTAATATCACAAAACAAAAACTAGGAAGGAAAACAGGATGCAGATCTAACCAAACTAACCAGGCTTAGCCAAGCTTAGCCACAACACAACACAACACAACACAACATTGCATATGGCATTCATGGAAAGGGTTACCAAATTAAGTTGGAGCAAAAGAAAACCTCTGAATTAATTTTTATTAGACTGCCTCAGTTGTGCAAAAAAAATAAAAAATCTGCAGGAATACTTGCCTAATAATTCTACATATAGTGTATATGCATTTTTCTGTATTTGTGATATTTTTTGTTTAGGTTGGAAGAACAGTGTATCTGTTGTTTACCAGAAAGCGTTCTGTATCCTGGAAACAAGTGAAATCTGAATTGCACAAAAGTAATTTGGTAACCATGTAATTATACCTGATAATAAGGGTACCTAATAATAAAACTCTTTTACAGTAGCTGTCAGCAGAAATTACTAACTACTGATCAGCGAGCATTAGTGGGCTGATTATTATTATTGTCAATATGTGAATAACAGTTTCATTAGTTACTAGCACAAATATTTTTTCACATCCCTTAGCAACATCCAGACTGGTGAACTGGTCAGGGCTGTTGCCGGGGACGGGGGGATGGGTATGTTTGCCCTGGTCCTGGAATCTACCAAAAGGGATACCTCACCCCCTAGTTGGCAAGGGGCCCCAGAGTTCCTTTCTCCTGGCACTAGTCAGTGGGTCACTGTTGTCTCACACCTCAGGGTTCACATTTTGCTGTGCGTCTTGCTTATGGATAATCAGAGTCCGAAAAAATGTACAGTAGCTGTTGGGTCAATTTTCAGCTGCATTATGGAACACATACCATGGCAGAAAACATTTTTGGAAATAGACCATTACAAGTGTTATTATTGTTATTGTTCATCATGTGGAGGCCTAATGGTTAGGGAAGCGTACGTGTAATTGAAAGATTGAATGGTTTGAATCCTTGGTGTGTTAATGAAAACTCACTGTGAATTTACTGTTTTCACTGTGTAACTGCGTACAGGACGTCCTCACTGGCAGACCTCAGCAAGTGTGTAATGGTGGAAAAACCTCCTCCATCATCACCATCAACACTGGCACCCCGCAGGGGCAGTGTGCTGAGCCCCCTGCTATACTCTATCTACACCCATGACTGTGTAGCTAAGTACAGCTCCAACACCATCCTCAAGTTTGCCGACGACACCACCGTAATAGGTCTGATCAGCGAGGACGATGAGACGGCCTACAGAGAGGAGGTCAGACTCCTGGCAGAACGGTGTCAGGACAACAACCCCACCCTCAACGTCAACAAAACTAAGGAGATGATTGTGGATTTCCGCAAACAGGCAACAGAGCACAGCCCCATCTACATCGGAGGTGAGGCTGTGGAGCAGGTCAGCAGTTTTAGGCTCCTCGGAGTCACCCTCACTGATGACCTTAAATGGTCAAGTCACACTCCGGCAATAGTCAAGAAAGCCCAACAACACCTCTACTAATTCAGGAGACTGAGGAAAGCCCAGATGCCCCCCACAACCCTGTGCAGATTTTACAGGTGTACTGTGGAATCCATCCTGACAGGATGCATCTCATCCTGGTACAGCAGCTGCTCAGTTCAGGACAACAGAGCTCTGCAGCGTGTGGTGCACTCAGCACAGAAGATCACGGGCACACAGCTCCCTGCGATCCACGACATCCTCACTACACGCTGTCTCGAAAGTGAACTGTATCTGGTGGGACCCCAGCCACCCTGCACTGTCACTTTTCACCCTCCTCCCATCTGGGAAGTGACTGAAGTCCATTCGGACGCGCACCTCCAGGTTCAGGAACAGTTTCTACCCAACTGCAATCAGACTCGTGAACATTCAGTAACCTGTGTCTCCTCCACTGCTACTGTACCCGCACACATACTTCTGCCACTGTCTCTATTCCTAGGATTCTGGTCTTATTTATTTACTTATTTATTTTCACTTCATCATTACATTCACTTATTTATTGTGGTTTTGTTTTGCCATCTTGTCTGTGTTCACTGTCTGCAGAGGGACATGCAAGTAAGCATTTCATTGTACTGGTGCTCATACTGGTACATATGACAATAAAAAGAATTGAATTGAATTGTATTTATATTTCACTGCAGAATATTTAAGATATATTTTCCTCTTCCTCTTTTTGTCTTTTTTAATATTTCCTGCATAGACTAGGGATTCAGCCATTGTTGACATATAATGAGACACTGCATGAACAGCCATTGGAAATGAATGACAGCTAGGCGACACTGAGCACAAAAAATGTACAGTAGCTGTTGGGTCAATTTTCAGTCTTTATTGATTGATACTTTGTTAACCTTTTTATTCTGCCTCCAGAACACCATCAATGGAGAACCAAAGGTAATTATCATCATTATAATCAATGTCATCTATGCTTTCATCTCCGTCCTTGCTAACGTTCATCACTATACTCGTGATTTTAATTAGCATCATCACTCTTTCCATTATCATAATAAATACCATTTCCGCCCTCATAATGATTAACTGCCGCATTATCTGATACCAAGCTCTTGATTATTAGAATGAAAACTAATTTTAAAAATTATACTATGCTTTCAGAATATTTAACATTTTCTAGTGTCTGTGCTGTTTATATAAAGAGACTATAGCGTACCCCACTTTTTCTGAATATCACATAAAATTAGTTTCCATTTGTTTGTGGGGACAAATTGAGCAGTAAAACATTAAATTAATGGTAGAGCTATTTAGAATGTGGTGCAGTAGCCAGTAGTTTTGCCTCATTTGAGATTCAAATCCAGCCTCTGCTCTGCATGTGCACAGTTGGCATGTTCCTCCAATGCTATGTGAGAGAGTAAAACATCCAGAGAGGCAAGTAATGATCCATTATGAGTGTGTGAGAACGGTCATCCTGTTCAGGGTGTTCCCCTGCCCTCTGCTTCCAGCCATAGGTTCCCTGTAATGGATGAGACTCATTTCTTAGACTCTTCTGAAAAGCTTTTGTAGATACAAAACTCTTTCGGTGTGTGAAATGAGCACTGCACCACAACAAGCCCATTCACTTCTCAGTTCTTTTTTTTAATCCTCCCCAACAACCACTTTAAATACAAGCTGAAAACACTACACATCCTACATATGGAACTGTAAAAATACACAGAAAACTGATCATTTTACTATGCAGATTAATGTAACATCTCTGTTAGTTATGATCCCATGGCATTACAGTGGAAAAATGTGCACAGTGCTGCAACGAGTGGACCCCTAAAATGCATGCTGGCATGAAGCTGTGCTTAAAAACTAATTGCCGCATTGAATATATGTATTAATGTCAGTGGCATTAAAAGCCTTTGAGCTTGTAAAGTCTATCTGCACAAATAGGTTTAATAAAGACACTAAATTCAAGCCATCAATATCATATTTCCAATGAAATACATTTCTGGTAACTGCATAGGACCACCTATCTAAAATGCTCTTGCAAAAAGGCCATTGGTCATGAAATCTAGAAACAATATTGCAAATGACATTTTATGATGTAGTTCCTCAATGATGCCAGTTCATTTAAAATGAAAGGTTAGAAGATGGATGGATATATGTAATTAAATGGCTTTGTAACAGATAAACTGATTTGTGATTTGTTTCAGGAAATGTACGGTTTTAAAAAGTATTCTAGGCACAAACAAAGATTCTATAACTGGTTTAATACTTTTAAAGTCCTGTAGTTAGAAAAAAAAAATTCTTAGTCTGACATTTTGATACAGCTGTGTTGGACTGTAGTCTGCCCTCTGAAAGTATTATTAATGCAAGGTGGAACAATGGATAAAACATAAACAGTTTTTGTGTTAATATCAGTAAGGATCAAAAATGAAATTAAGTACCTTTAGAGACAAATTGCATCTATAAAGTGCAAAAACAAGAGTACTGTACTTTCATGTACCAGTAATACTGTCCTGACAGCTGTCGCATTTAAAATTAATTTGAAACGCAATTAATGATTTCTGCAGTCTCAATCTGCCACTTATCAATAAGGGATGCCAGCCAGGGCTTCACTTCTACAGCGCCCCGAATTGAAACTCTAGTGGAGGTTTTTTATGCAATATGAAATGGTAGATGGTCAATATAAAGGTAAGTGGGACAAAACCAAAGGTATAGATAATCTTAGGCGACATACAATGACAATTGTGCTTTTCAGGTAAATGCAAAATCCATCTAGTGATCCTGGGTTGATTGGTTTGGCTGCCTTCACAGTTTCAAAGCAGTTGCAAAATAAAGACAGTGATACTTATAAAGTTATTTTTCTCACTGCATACAACATTTGAGCTCCAGCTCCTGAGAGGTAGTGATGTAATGCTTATATACACAAAAGCACGCTAGAGGGAAATTAAGTAAAACGGAAAGTGTTACAAAAACTGGAAGCTGACAGAAGACTGTTGGAAATCTGTTAGTGATGAGCAATAATTTAACAGGAGTAGCCGCCATTACTAAAGGAATCCAGAGTTTTCCACGGATGGTGATGCATTAAATGAGCCTTTGCCAGGTTATATGTCATGTGTTTGACTCACTGCAGACTCCTACACAAGACATGGTTTACCAGCTGGGTTTGGAAATAGATAATTCCTGCATACAAAGCTGCTGCATGCTGAATAAATCGCATTTGCTGTGGAGGGTCACTCTAAAAGGAGGCTCGAACATTAAAGCAATAAGAGATTAAAATACATGCTGGAATTGTGTTGAGTGAAGCAGGAAACTGATACTGTCTCTTTTGTTTGAATTTATGGGAACAACCAGCCAATGATAAGCCTACTATATATTTAGCTATAAGTCACACATACATTTTTTTTTTCTCCTTCAAATAAAGATGTTTTTTTTTTAATTTTGAAAAATAAGAGAGAATGATCCAAAAAGTGAACTTCTTAAGCTATCAGAAAAAAAATTATTAAAAATAGCATTCATTTTACTTTAATCTAAGTAAAGTGATATTGCCACTTCATTAATCACAGATATTCAGACTGCAACCCACGGAAGAGAATGTACAAGTTTCACGTATTCGATATTTGATATTTAAGATTCGTCATTGTCACGCATCCAGAGTGCTGCTATTTGGATGCAGTAAATCAGTCAGCTATGTGCAATGACAATGCAAAGTACACGACACCAGCGGCTCCAAACTTAAACCACAAAGGTGGCTGCAGTAAAAAAATACACCATTCAATTAAATTTAAGCAAACTCTTGATAGACGGATATGTTAAATACTCTGTAGAATGCAATTAAATAGGAAGGCACATTCATCATGCACAAATAAAGAAGGTGCAATATAGACTGTGTGCATTGTGCAGCAATGTTTGTAGGAAAGTAAGTAGTATCAAGAGTTAAGGTCTCTAACTGCAGCACAGATGACATGTGGCTTTGGAGGTCAGACATCTGTAGCATCTGCCAGAGAGGTGAGTCTGGAAGAACTTATGAGCTGGAAGAGAGAAGTCAGAATGTGCCGTTAGATCAGTCTGCTTGGTGTAGAGGGGGTGAACTCATAGATAGTCAGGGCATGTGATTTCTTTGTTGCCTTGGAAACAACAAACACCAGTTTTCCTTTTGTTTGTATGTGCTTACATACCCAAAGAAGAAGACCTGTTTTGTATCTATGTTATGCTTAAAATGCATCTAATTTTGGCATGAAGATTTTTATGTTTTTATGTGTAATGTGTGTGTGGATGTGTGTATACAGCCTTCCTTTGATTTGTGTGGCTAATAAATTCATTAAAAAATCATAAATTAAATATATACATTGAATATATAATTGATAATGCATTTTTAGTGTACCAACAACACGAAACAATTTTTCAAAATATCACAAAATCAATTAAAGTCCTTCTCGGCATGGCATTTGAGCTAAACCCCATCAAGGTGAGGCACTCTTTGCAGGAAACACAAGGGGGTGCCACATTTCAGTAACCACTAACATACTGTATGAGCACTCACCAACTGCCACAGAACCTCACAGGATCCCTCTTACTGCCTTGCTTGGGACAGAACTCTCCACCAACTTCATCACCAAACTTTGGATGAGATGCACTATCAATCCATTTTGTTAGGGCTGTTGGGGGGGGGGGCATTTCTTCATCCTGTTCAGGTAGTGACAGACTGCCTACTGTACGTCAAGGCCTCCTTGAAGTTGTAGCCCTGGTTGCTATGCAGCTCTTCCGGGGCCCAAAAGTGGCAGAACATCGCAGTCACCAGCTTCTCCCATGTCGTCATGACACTCTTCCCCCTCATAGTTAGAAGGCATGTCCAAAGTAATTTAGTAAAGCTATCATTTGTCTACCTTTAACATCCAATGTCTACAAATAAAACAACAGAAACAACTTTTATTGTAGTTAAATGTGAGTTTTGCAGGCCAACCTTGGCTCCTCTCAGCTTGTGTCCAACCAAGCAGCCAATGAAATTGCGTGCAGGTGCAGCAATCCCATGATCCTCTTCTAGCTCTCCCTCTTTCCCAAGCTCTCTCTGTCTCCATGGTTATGCTTCCTGTTCCTCTGATTGCTATTTCCTGGACTCCCAGGCCAAGAGGTTGCTTTGGAAAGTGTTTTCAGCTTTGGTTGTTCTTCCTGCCATTCTCTCATATCTTCCCCAGGAAGCATCTGCCCTAAACTCAGATATTGGCACAGACCCAGAGTAGTAGCACTCACAGTGGGCATTGAACTCCCCATGACTCCCTGGAGGATCTCATAAATTATTTTAAATAAGTGTTGTGCAAATGGGGCCAGCCCAGCATATAATATATTGACAAATAATCTTGGGTGGAGGCTCTTTGCTTTCACAATTCACCAATTCAGTGTTTGTTTCACCATATCCTGAAATGGACACACAGAAGCCAAGGACCTAAGTGAGCTGTAATATGCTGCTCTATGTCAGTGTGGATCCCCAACCTACGGCAACTTACACATGAAACTCTTTTGGTCCAAGTTAATTTTAGTTCCTATTTTTCATAACTTTTAATTTTAACACTATTTTTCAATTTTGGTTCCTTTTTGGTTTTATATTTCAGTATAGTTTTATATTTAATTCAGTTTGCATTTTTACTGAGCTTTACTTTTCTTTTAATGAAGGAAGCCCTCGAATGAAAACACACAGCACACAATGAAATATGAATAATGGCACAGCTTCAATAAACTCTCCGTAACATTTTCTATAATGAAATAATTAAATTATAATAATAATAATAATAATAATAATAATAAGAACAACAACAAAAAAACAATAATTTATCTTAGAAAACTGTGGCTTTGAAGTCATAATGCATTATTATTTCTTTCTATACATTTTGATCCCCCAATGGAGGAATAGGATTGGAAGCTGACACTGGTTCCCCTCACCCCACATAGCAAAAGTGCAGTACTTACACTGTTTTACTAACTGTTTGCTGCAGCTTTATCCCTCTAGAGTGACTGTGTCTTTAAATGCCCATTGTGTAATATTTGCCTCCTAATAAATTATTTCATTTTTATAATGTCACCCTACTTCCCCCCATTTTGTGGAAGTGGACAGTTTTATCTAATCAAACCACACTTCCCGTGTTCACTGCCATGAAAGCACCTCCCAGAATTAGTGGAGGAAGCAAAAAATTGCTTTGGCAGCCAGTGTGATCTGGAAGAAGCTTGCAGCAGGCCAGATAGCCGTGTGAGTGCAGTGAAACTCACTAGGAAGGGAAAATGGAGCACTGGATTTTCTTAATGTTTTTCATCAGGGTTCACTGCCAGCATGCTGTAAAATACTTTGTTCACAATGAAAAAGCCAATTTCAACGATGCTATTACAATGTGTCAAGACTCCGGGTTTCTGACAGACATGAGTAGCATGGAAGAAGTTAACAGCGGCATTCTTCCAGCTGTGTCTCACGCACTGCATTCAAAGGGGAATTTCAGTTTCTGGATTGGTCTGAAGAAATTCAAAGAGCAATGTTTTGAAAAAGGACAGCCTTTGTTTGGATTTGTGTGGACGGTAAACAACAGTTCCCTGTCAGATGTTAAAAAATGGAGGTACCACCCTAGAGAAACCTGCTTAAACATATTGTGTGGATCACTGTCTGTGGAGTACAGTGGAAGCATCATTACTGACTGGGGGTTTGAGGAGAAAAAATGTAACGCGAAACAAAAGTTTATTTGTAAGAAGGTCTCAGAAGAAAAAAGTACAAAGCCTGACAAAAATGGAACCTTAAATAGAAAAGGGACTGGTTTGTTTCTCAGTACTAACCACACAGAATCCTCTGATTTTATTCTGTCTGTGCAGCCTCCAGTGACAAATAATGCTCCATCCACCTCTACTCTGAGAATGGTCACAGCCATTGAATCCAGTGAGATTCAGCACAGCAAATTTAGTGTTTTCATGCCTGTGTTGATAGCACTGTCAGTACTGGTGCTTTTGGTGATTGTCATCTTGGTCATTGTCAAATGCTGCCTCATCAGGAGGACGAGGAGATGCAAGGGAAAAAAGTCCAAAGAGACAGTCGATCTAAAAGACAGAGATTCTGAGGAGCAGCTGAACGAAAAAGACAGCTTAAGGAACTGAAAAAACAGAACAGAGAAGCTTGTTCGTGGGTAAATGACTTTTGTTTTGCATTTCTTTTCATTAAAATTGTAGCAAATGATTAGTTACAGTGATTATTGTTAAACCCAATGACTGTACAATATTATAATATTTGTCTATTAATAGATCTTATGTACAAATGAATCAGAATCAGTGTCTTTGTGAGAAGATGACCTAGTGATTCTGTGGGCATCACTGGTGCCTCACACCTCCATGGTTGGTTGTTTGCATCCCAACCTGTGTGTGAGGAGTTTGATTGTTCTTCTCATGTTGCGTCAGATTCTTCCACATACTCTGGATTTCTCCCACAATGCAAAGACACATAGCCTAACTGGAGCAGCCCGTAATGCATGATTATGCACATATGTGTGGATGGACTGGCATACTGTACCATCCAGGGAGTGTTCCCACCTTGTGGCTTCTTTGCATGGAATTGTTCCGAGCCTCCCTGGAACCCAGAGTAATATAAGTGGTTGGAAGAAGGATAGTAGGAAGGATATTGGTATTTGTAAGTTACAGAGCTGATGAGTGCTTCATTTCTGCAAATATAGGTCCCACTGTCAAGAGGGGAGGAGGCAGATACATGTTTGCAGCTGCTTCATAATCTTTATCATCGCCATGGCAATCCCAAACAGCATGGTTATCCTGACATATTTCAAAGACATGCCCCGCCAAGGTGACTGCTGATTGGGCAATTCTTCATTTTTCTGCAAGATAATGACCCAAACACACACAATTGTTCAAGAACAGGGGAAGATGGAAACTGAAGGACAATTCAAACTGATGACCTGGCCTGGCCCCAGACCTCATTCCCAAAAACGTGTATGGGCTGAGCTGGCCTGAAGAATCACAGCAAAGCAACCTACAGGCAGCCTGAGACTCTGGGAACCACTGAAGCTGAGCGGGGGAAACGCATCAGGAGATCCCATGATGAAATTTGTTAACCAAATGCTTCATGTTTGTGAAGCTCTTGACCAGGCAAATGGTGTTTTTTTTTGAAGAATCAAAGACTTTGAAAAAATTTTAAATTTCTATGACTACTGCTTTAGTATTTCTTATGTTTTTATATCTTAATGTGCTTTTTAACTTTTCTATTTGCAGAAAAACTCAAATTTTTGACTGGTACTATGCATCTAGCTCAATGAGTCTATAGAAAACTCATGCCATTCAAACAACTGGCGTTACTGCTTGTCAAAAAGGTGTTTCACAAAATACTTCATGTTTTAAGAATCTCTGGCCATTTGTACATTTTTCCAGTACTGATCAGGCTCATCTTCCTTTCAGTAAATTTCTATTTGTTGAATTTTACCTGGAACAGAATGACTACGTATTGTGCCAGCCAGTGATGTCCTAACTTAAAAACCAACAAGTCCAAGAGAATTGTAAAATAAAAATGTATTGTAATCTCAGGTTATGTATAAGAAATTCCATAAACTCAATACATCAAAGGCACGGACATAGATTTGGTCAAAAATTATAATTTTATTAATTTATTATGACATAAATTTGTTATTTCTTTTAACTTTTCCATATGTCGATGTTTACATGTGTTAAATCTGGTTGAACCAAATTCTGATAAATTTGTGTGAGCTGCAGGCCTTGTTACTGATCTAAACATTGTTTCCAAGAAAAGTTCAAAATTACCATTTGCAGTTTCTTAATAAAACATTCTCAGTACATTGCAAAAGCGATTAACCTATAAACTCACTGGGATGGTAAATAACATTGGCTTTTGAGTTGCATTTGTAACCACAATGAATCTTACCTAAGGAGCATAACTAAATTGCAAGCAATAATAGTTTTTAATAATGTACCCTATTACGTGTGATCGAAAGTGACCTTGGCATGTAAAAAATCGGTAGGCTATATGTTGATAATACAGTCCTGGTTGCATTAAAATAATTAATGTTTCAACTCTAAAAAATATATGTGAAACAAATATCAACAGAACAAATTCTTTCAGCCAAAGGTTGGACTTGAAATACTTTGTTCAGTGACACTCAAAAGTGCTATGTGCATGTTGTGAAAACATGGGTGCCTTTAGCGCGGAGCAGTGGAGCCAGACTAACTATTTCCTGTCATTAAAAGTGATATGAAGTCAGATGTCCACTTCCTTTTTCTGAATTGCCTTTTATCTTTTTATACTTAAATTAGTATTTTATCTAGGTATTGCTCAAATCATCATCTTTTCCAAAACGTTTCTGATATGTTCTAAAACACTTGATGTCAAAAAATTGTACCAAAACAGCAACGATTTAGGAAACCGAAATTTCTCTCTCAGTTTACTGTTCATAAGCATGCAATAGTAATCCAAAGAGAAAAGCATAACATTCGCTGTAAGCTTTCTCTTCTCCATAGTAACCGAGTATAAGGAATCAGCTTAGGCCTCATTTTCTAAAATAGCGACCTGGGGAAGTATTGTTTTCTCAGATGAATTGTCTCTCAGATGACTTCCTTTGTAATGCACCTTCCTTTCAACATCGAGAATGTCCGTCCTTCTTTTAGTTTTCCTCTTACTCGCTTCTAAGTTACTAAAGTATTTTCCAACATTCAAGTGCTGTAGACTTTGGTTTTAGGCTAACTGAATGTTTCACACCATTGCTATGATTAATTATCTGTAAAATAGCCTTTTTATTGCCTACTGTACAACAGGTTTTCACTAATTCCCCAGTACATCTGTGCGTATGTATGTTCAGTAACATTTATAATATGTACTATCAATTACCAAAAAAAAAGGATTACATTTATTGATTTTTTTTCTTTTTCTAGATATACCACAAGTGGAAAGATTGAAAAAATATGCTGAGACGGTCTTACAGTATGTTCTTTTTTTAGCAGATAAAAATGCAAGTTGCAATGTACGCCTTGTCTCCTCCTTGTGGTGTTTCCTGCGTGTGCTGCAGGCTCTCTGCATCCATTACCCAGTTTTATAGCCTACTGTTGTGTTTCGATTATAGTAACATGCCTTTAACAATACACAGTATTTATGACCAATAAATAATGAGAGCTTTTGTTTTCCTTGTGGTTTTCAGATGTTAAACCACGTCAAGCTTTTAGCGTTTTAGTCATTTTATATTTAAGTTTAATTGCAAATTATGTTCAGTCGCGGTTCCCAAAATATACAGTAATGTATAAAGGTACGATGTTTCCATGTTTTCGGAAATCGGCAAACTATTTCAATGCCAAAACATTGTTAGTTTTATAATAAATACCTGCTCACACAGAATTAGACACATATATTTCTTCCTTCGCTACTAGTTTGAGAACAAGGTATGAAAGCAAGTTCATTACTAATAGAAAGAAAACATTTACGCGCTATTTTAATTACACAATTTAATTACGTCAATAAAAAAAGACAGAAACGGCGTTACCCATATGAAATAATGCAATAAGGACATTAAAACACATAATGATCACATTAATTAACTGGTTTGGCTATAATGTAGTGGTTCTCGATGTGCAGGTGCCGTTCCTGTAAGCGCTATCCGACTCCATATTATCGGGCTGAAATTCATCCACACTGTAGCCGCGACTTTTTAGGGCTGTGGCATAGTAATCAATGGGCTCTTCCGTGGCGTTGTCCATCCATCGGAGGCACAAGATCCTTTGGAAAGAGCGCTTGAAATTGTCCGACAGGAATCCATAGAGTATTGGATTAGCGCAACTGTTGGCGTAGCCTAAAATAACAGCGAGCTGGCTGACTGTCGCGTTGTGTCGCCCCACGAAGACGTTCACAAGCTGGACGATGTGGAAGGGCATCCAGCAGATCACGAATACTGTCACCACCATCATCACCATCAGAGTTATCTTGCGCTCGGACTTTTTGCGCTGTTGCCAGCCCGCCTTCAAGGCGACCACTCTCATCTTAAAAATGATGAGAATATAGCACAGGCATATGGCAATGACTGGGAACAGAAAGCCCATTAAAAAGGCATAGATCACAAATACAGCCATCCACTGTCGCACCGGCTTCGGCATCTGCATGTTGCAGGCAACTGAGCCATCCGAATTTGGCGCTGTCGTGGAAAATATTATAATGGGCAAAATTACTACAATAGAGAACATCCAAACCCCCATGTTGACTATCTTGGCTATGGTAGGTCTTCGGTATCTGGCAGCTTTGATGGGGTGCACCACAGCAATGTAACGGTCTATGCTCAACACTGTAAGGCAATATATACTGGTAAACATATTAATAGCATCAACACTTAGGACAAGTCGACACAAAAGCGAGCCAAACGGCCAGTGGTGGAGCAGAGACGAAGTCACCAAAAAAGGCACACTCAGCATCAATAACTCGTCCGCGATCGCCAGATTTAAAATGTAAATGTTGGTCGCCGTCTTCATTTTCGCATACCTGAAGATCACATAGATTACCATAGAGTTCCCACACAGCCCCACCAAGCACACGACCGAGTAAATAAAGGAGATGAGGATTGCGCTGCCTTGAGATTCGCCCTGTGTGTCGTTCCCAGACGAATTCATAAAGTAAAGGCTGTCCTCCAAACTCAGCTGCTTGTAGGAGTTATTCGGCAGCATTTTCCTCGCCACCGTCCGCTGTTAAAAGTAACTGCAAAGAGAATCGTTCTTGCGCATAATTATGCTGTTTGCAATTGCACTTGCACCTGAACTCATTTGCAGCAGCAGAAGAACTGTCCGGAGTATGCGTACCCCCGCTTCTCCCCTTGGGCAGCGCACAAGGCGTTTCAGCACCATGGATAGTGACCACCGGTAAGGCTCCCTGACTATTATTTGCCGGTATTAACGTAAGATGCTGCAAAATGACGTTGTCTGTTTTGTAATCGACAGTAGGACTGCTAACTGAAATAGATCTTTTGATACACGTCACCAATCCATTTTCCTGTTTTTCGTCAGCGGCACTCACCCAACCGTTTAAGTCATTATTTCTCATTGGCTTTGCACTATGTGCGTACCAGTTCAAATATTGCTTCTGCAAATCCTTGGCACATGCATCATATCGCATGGTGTCCTATGCATGTACAAGAATATTACCGACTTGGTTCAATACAAAGTGCAAAGAAAAAAATCATTAGTCAGTGCAAATGCTTTTAATTTTCATATTGTCAAATCATTTCATTTGTTAAATCAGTTTTTAATGCACAAACCAGCAGTACATTCTGAAGCAGCTGATTGACTTTTTATTTTCACATTGCCTGTTTACATCACACTTTAGGAAATAAACCAAAAATATCCAATAGAAGGTTGCAGCTGTTGTTGCTTGGCACGGGAGAGATTTCTTGTCATTATCTTACAGATTATATGCTTTATTTTAGTATCCTGTCATTCACCTTAGGCTAATACCCTTACTGGTGTATTTGCCCATGTGAGTAAAATAAAGTAACTAAACCAATAGACCATACCCAAAATCTGAACCCATGAGGTTAAATTGGCACGTGATGATCTGTTTCCTGCTGAAAATTGTTTTACACATCAATTGTTAAGTGATCACTGGGTGTCATTCCAAGTAATTTTATTTCAGGCCTATCTGCTATAAGCACATATGTGAATATTCTGCGGCAGTCAACCAAGATCTCTTTTTATTTTTAGAAAATGAAAACTTTTATTTTCTTGTCTGGTAGCTACTGTACATGTATTTATTTATTATTTTGATTCAATTTGCTTAGCATGCATATGATGAGGATGGTAGACTTACATGTTTTTCCATGTATAAATTACATTTGAATGTAAATGTTTTCAGCCACAGGAAATGTTATATTTAATACTGTCAATGAAGTAAAAACCAATAAAAGAAGAATAAATGGCTGTTTTGATGTATTGATCGAATGATGTATTGATTATGTTCAAATACCCATTCTGTGCTTGTTCACTTATGGCTGTATTAACGAGTCTTATATTTCTATACTAAAGACTATTCCAAAGTTCAGTCTATAATGAAAGCTCAGATTGTAAATTTTGAAATTAGCTTGTTATTCTTAATATATAAATATTTATTTTTGACACATTATTTTCAGGTTTAAGGAAAAAATAAACATACAAAAAACAACAATTTTGTCTGAAGATTTGTTCTGGTTTTCAGACAAGATAAAAATGTCTGACTAACTTAATGAAAAGCACACAGGCCTATAATCCATCCATCCATCTATCCATCTTCCATCTGCATATCCTGGCCTGGGTTTGGGGGCCTGGAACCTATCCCAGGCAGAACAGAGTACAGGGTTGGGGTGCAGCCTGGATGGGATGCCAGTCTATCGCTAGGCACATACACTATGTGTGATTTAGAGACACTGATTATCCTAATTGCATGGCTTTCAGATGCAGAAGGGAGCCACAGTCCCTAGAGAAAATCAGGAAAACATCAAACAGCATATACCGAGAGCGGAGGCAGGAGTCATACCCTCAGCCCTGGAGGTAGCAGGCTGCTGTACTGCCCACTGAGCTACCCAAGCACTGTAGTGCAGGCATCAAATGAACAATATACCTTAACGTTTTACATAATTAAACAATTATGATCACATATGATGCATGTGATGTTAAATCAGCAAGGAATTTATAACTGTATTTGCACAATCTCACAAAAAAACTTGTTCAATACTAGGTGCAGATCATTAACTTTCTGTTTAAGCAATGGCTTGTTTAACTATTATATAACTATTTCGCTTTGATCTGCGAAACAAAAACGATGGGGTCCTTATGGTTTGGACACAGCGAAGATCACAAGCTTGGCAAATCTCCCAGTGGAAGTCCCAGATGATGCAATTTAAATTATTGTGCCCAAGAAATTGGGCACAATAATTAAAATTAAGAACAGACATTCTGGTTTTAAATTGCTGACAATTTGAGTATTTCATGCAAAAAATGCTTTAGTTTACTTTAATATTTGTACTGCCATCTAGTGGTAGAGCTAATGGGGCTTGGACCAGTCGCACATGAATGTCCACCCTGCATCATTTCACAGTTACATTCAGAGGGAAAATGTGTTTGCTGTCTCTTGTGTGACATAACTCTCATGGTCTTTGCCAGTTGTAACAGTGTTACATAATTAGAACAAGAATTCGCCACAGCATGTCCATTAAAGCAGGAGAACCAGGCCAGAATTAAATGTGTTTATTTGTAGAGAACAGAATTAAATATGTTTACTGTAGAGGACATTAAACCATTAAATCTGTCATTCAACAGAAACAGTTCAGATTATCAGAGAATGTTCCATTTAGAGTAATATTTTATGCATTTAAAGGTGTGTGTGAAGAGGAGGTTAATTTGGGAAGAATGTTTATTCCATTTTATTTTTTATGCCTATAATTTTGTGTAAATTGGCATCTTTCTATTTTATGCTTTTAACCTTAGAATCCTAGCTGGAAGCCAGACCTAAAATTACTCCACATTCTGAATCCCTGTTCAAGCCCAAAACAGCAGGCCATTTGTTATTTATGCAATTTATGGTTAAAATGATGGCTCCAGTTGGCTCCACTCCTGTTCTGATCCCAGGGAAATCCAGTATGTTCTAGTATGTTCACCTGTTCTTGCTGCCAAGGCTACATGCCATGTGGTTCTGTTGACAGTCCTGACCTGATACAGTATAGACATACCAGTTATGGAAGTCTTCCTGGATTTAACTTTATAACACAGGCAAATAAAAGTGTGTTATAGCTTTTAGGTCCCTTCCAAATGAGGGATACAAAATTTAGGCATATAAAAAATGCCAGTAATAAATTTACCTGGGATCTTCTCCCATTAGATCTTCTCAGAGAGTGTGGTGGAAGCCGGATTAGTGACACAGAGGCTGTGGCAAATTGTTCATTAGATGTCGAATAGCATTGGTGCAACAGGGTTTTAAAACACCTCCATCTGCCGGACGAGTTCCTGGTGGCACTTGGACACTCTGAGGCAGTGAGAAGAACATGGCGTCCCTGGAGCAAAAAAACACCCTGCAAATTACTGTGTGAGGTGGATGTAGGAGAGAAATGCAGAGATCCTGCCCCCCTTTTTTCACATGTTAACATACGAAGGCTAGACAGGTAAAGCTGTTAACATAAAGAGTGATTTTTAACATGACAATGTCCTAAACATTAATGTCTGTTCATTAAAATTTTAGAACTGTATTTCTGTCTCTCTAAACTTAATGCTATGCAATGATAACATCTGAACAAATGAAGAAGAATGACATAACTATCTTACAGAGGGACAGGTTGAACTATGGGAGATGGTCCTGCTGCTGAAATGTTCTAAGGTGTGATACATAGTAGGGGAGTTGCTAGGATCCGAAGACACCTGAGACCTAATCTGTCTGAGTGTTCTCAAACTGAGAGCATGGCTGCTAAAACAACAGAGCTGAAGAAATCATTCAGGGCTCATTAGGATTCAATTGGAGCTGCAGTACCCAATGGTTAAGGCTTTTGATGCATCTGATAGATTGTGTAGGACTTGTTATTAGAAAAAAAAAGTGATTTGGTAATCCATGATAAGTTGTATTGTATCTTGTTCTGGAATATCACATTTTTGGCATACTTTACTTGAATGGCAATTTTAAGAATAAATTACGGTCTTGATTTAGACATCCTTCATTGATTCTAACACACTAGAATTTTTATAGACATTTACTGATTGTGCTATAAAGGCAGAGTGAAGACAAATGAATTGTAGATGACGGTAAGATGCATTGATGAACCAAATCTGACTGGGCCCTCAGCTCAGGTTCTTAAAGTAATCCAAAGTTATTCCACCATGTTCAGCAGAAGGTTTCTTCAGTAGGTTACGTGTGGGCCTTGCAATGTGTTGTGCTAGAGAATCAAGCCGGACATCAGATGATCTCACAGAAGTCCTACTCAATATGACGAAGATGTCACAGCATGTTCATCGCTTGAACCCAGCCTCTCCTGTGTCTGAGAGGAGCTTGCATACTCTTTCAAGGATCTGTGTCTGAAATGCCTTTAATATAACTTTTCTTGTGTGTGGGTGTGCCTGTGGACTCCTGTCTTGGTGTGCATGTCGTGTATAATTAATGGTTTATGCAACCTTACAAGTTGTGCATCCTAGAAAAGCGTTTCAATCAGTGGGATTGCAAGCAAATAAGGACCTGCTGAAAACAGAGAGAAGGAAAATATCTTTTCAAACAGAAGGCTGAAATATGTGAACCCAATTTTTTTTTCCCCATACATCAGAACTGTCTTTTCCATTAGCTAATGGCCACTATTTTAAATTTATGAATGGTCATTTATTCATTTAAAATAGCTCAAATGTGTATGACTCACGCATGAGATATATATAACGCAACATGAATGATTGTGGCGAGTGACAGATTTAATTGCTAAAAAGGCTTTTTGTTGCTTTTTCGTTTATTGTAGACACCATTGATTCAGCTGCTGGTTTGCTGCTGTACTAAAGCAGACTGCTAATAACATGCCGAGCGTAAGAGAACATATTGTGTTTGTGTGTCCTGTGTGGACAAAAAGAGAATAAATTTAGAACTCTTCAACTGATCATGGCAGAGAGCCATAAAAAAGTCAGAGGACTCAGGGAAAGTGAATCAGCACAGGAAAAAGGGAGCCGGCATGTGTGAGGAGAAAGTGAGCCGGCTCTGGAAAAGTGGGGCTGGGATGTACTGGGAGAAAGTGAGCCGGTTCTGGAAAAGGGGAGCTGGGATATGCTGGGGAACAGTGATCAAGTTCTGGAAAAGGGGAGTTGGGATATACTGGGAGAAAGTGAGCCGGCTCTGGAAAAGGGGAGCTGGGATATGCTAGGGAAAAGTGATCAAGTTCTGGAAAAGGGGAGCTGGGATATACTGGGAGAAAGTGAGTCGGTTCTGGAAAAGGGGAGCTGGGATATGCTGGGGAAAAGTGATCAAGTTCTGGAAAAGGGGAGCTGGGATATGCTGGGAAAAAGCGAGTCGGCTCTGGAAAAGGGGAGCTGGGATATGCTGGGGAAAAGTGATCAAGTTCTGGAAAAGGGGAGTTGGGATATGCTGGGAGAAAGTGAGCCGGTTCTGGAAAAGGGGAGCTGGGATATGCTGGGGAAAAGTGATCAAGTTCTGGAAAAGGGGAGTTGGGATATACTGGGAGAAAGTGAGTAGGTTCTGGAAAAGGGGAGCTGGGATATGCTGGGAGAAAGTGAGTCAGTTCTGGAAAAGGGGAGCTGGGATATGCTGGGAAAAAGCGAGTCGGCTCTGGAAAAGGGGAGCTGAGGACGTAAAGGGAGAAAGTGAGCCGGCTGTAGTGAAGGGGAGCCTGCTGAGGTGTCTCAAGAAGACAGAAACGCAATTAATGAATCTTAGCTGCAAAGACTGAATGAGCAGAATCATACCGTTGGATGTATTTTGTATCATTTCTTTGATGCTGAGCTAATGAATGCAGACAAAATACATACAGACCCCAGGAAACAAAAATAACCAGCTTCAAAATTACTCAGATACTTGAAATACTGAAAATGACTACCTTTTGTGCAACTGGCTTTGATATATACAGACAGGCCAATACTCATTACTGTAATTTCCTTTCATGAGTGCATATTAAATGTAACGAGGCTATGAACCATCATTTTTGCCTCATAGCCAGTGCCCACTTAACAGCATAAGCACAAGTAACACTATGTGTAGAACACCTGAAAGGGAGAACTATCATAGAAACAGAACCAGCACAGAATCTAAATAAATCTTTAAATGCACAATCTATCAAAGAATAAGTCTGTTTGCTTGATGCTTTAGACAGAAGGGTTGCATGCAACATATTTCAAGGACTGCAGTGCAGAATATAATTTATTTTTTTACATCATTTTATTAAAAAGATATATATGGAAAAAAATTATTTAGAGGTTGAAGTGTATTTTGCAGAAATACTTTTTGGGGCACAGCGACCTGGTCTGTGTCCCCAGTGAAGCTGTAGGTATCCCTGGCCTTGTTCATGTGGCCCAGTGTAAACATGGCAGCGTTTGCTAAAGGTTAAAAGATCAGGAGCAGGAAGACACTTGAAAGCTCATCTATCATCATTCCACCTCCCAGTCCTTAAAGTGTGCTTGTTTTTAGAAACCAACAGTTGAGAGAATT